TAACCTCTAGGGAATGATCCAGGGCAGCCACTGTCATAGCCTCAAGGGTAGTATGACAAGCATCATCTTTAACGACTTCTTGCACATAAACTTCACCTTCACCAACAACCTGTTTTTTCTTATTAACAATCTCCCTTAAAATCCTTTTTTGCTAGCACTTTACAAATGAATGGGTGGTGCCCATATTCTTTTCAATCAAAACAAAAGTTAGGAAAAGTTTCATATAGCACATGTTGTTTAAATACCTTTCGGGAAGGTAGTATATGTTTAGTTGTACTTTTTTTAAAATTCAAATACGTATAAATACGGATTTATACGAGTATTATATGTTTCACCTTTAAAATATGCGTATTTTAACGAATTTTTGGGAAAAATACTTAAACGGATGTTTGATACGTGTATTATACGTTTAAGCGTATTATACGTGTATTATACGCGTATTAACTAACAAGGAATTCACAAATAGGACTAAAAATATTTATATATTCCTAAAATAAGACTAATTGGTGCTATGATTTCACAGTATCAAACTTTACACATAACAACATTTTCCAAACATGATCGAAATTACTCCTATTTTGGGAATACAAACAAAGCAGTCTTATTTCAGAATTTTCAAACTTTTTTCCTTCTATTTCAAGAATTTTCCCAAGTCTCATTGATTAGTATAGGGAAAAAGACTTCAATAGGTTCAAAACATGAGCCCTGTACGTAAATATGACTTGCATCTTTTTTTTTCTGTAAATAGGACTACTTTTGAATCGCACGGACAAAAATATCCTCGCTTCTCAAGAGCCTTTGCAGCCCGCTACTCTCACATATGCAATCAGATGAAGCTTCCATTATTTCACAGAGGGGAACCAAATAGATAAACTGAATCTAAGTAAACCTTCACCATCTACGGCGAAGCCACCTTCGTTGACTCTGCCACGCGTCCGCCATCATTGCCGAAGCAATTCCCAACTCCGTCGACCTTAAGCTGGACAATCAAATGTTCAGTGTTAACCGCCGGTCTGCCGCTAATCATCGCCGGAATTTATGTCGCTGGTCGCCATTCGGTGAAGTTGCAGATGCTTAGATCTATTTTCCTTCTTCATCTGTTTTGATTTTCCTTGCTTTGCGTGTATTGTAGATGCCCAGATCTATTTTCTTTCTTCTTCTTTTTATTTTCCTTTCTTCCCATGAATTGTACTTGCCCAAATCTATTTGCTTTTTTCTTCGTTTTCTAATTTTCCGTTCTGTTTTTTTGTTGTTTCAACTTTCCATTCTTTGTTTTTGTCAATTCTCATTTGGTTTTCCTTTCTTTTTGTTCACTTTTTCTATTTTCTTTTGTAGCAGATTCTAGATTTGTTTATACTTAATTTCCTTGGAAACATGATACTCCTTCTATTATAATTAAAAAATTATGACAACATGATCTACGCAGTACAAGGTAATACGGAGTATTATTTTAACAAAATTTGAAATTATCTCTGGCATTGTGATAATTGTTTTATAGCATTAGCAATTTAAATCCACAGTGAATGAATTAGTATAATTGTCATTGACATTGTCACCTTATTGTGAAATATAATTGTGACATTGTATCATATTTTCGTTGATTATGATATTGTATCATGGTTAAAAAGTGACATTATTTGTCTTATTGTGTAATAATATTTGACATTATTAAGAAGTGTCACTATTTTTATTAATAACACTGTCATGTAACATTATGATATTAACATTGTGTCATTGTCAAGATGTTATATTGCGTTCGCTGTTGACATTGACATCATTGTAACCATTATATTATAAAAATTGTTATGACAATGGCATTGACATTGTTATTGAAATGGTCTATACACAATGACATTATCACAAAGTTTTTTTTTTTAAAATGACACTATCAATAGTTAAATATCAATGATAATGACATAGCAATGTCAATGGCGTAACAATGACATTAGTACAATGTCATTGACATTGTCATTGAGATATATTATAATCACTTTTGATAAAATTATAACATCATCATGTCATTAAATAAATTAACAATGTGATAACAATGTGACTATAATAACAATGTGTCATAATAATGTCAGTATATAACAATGCAATATACAATGTGGTTATACGACAATGTAATATACAATGTCTTTATATGATAATGTAATGATATCATTATTTACAAAATTAATGCCATAACGTGACTGAAATATATTAAAAATAAAAAACTAAAATTGTGACATTGAAATACTGTAACATTGTCATGTCAATTTAAAAAGTTGACAATGTTAGAAAACTATCAAAATGTCGGAAAATTGTCACAATGTCAAATAATGACAATGAAACTAGCAATGCAATAAAAAATGACATTTTGATAATGACATTGTCAATGCTGATGTCAATGACTAACAGAACAATGTCTATGCTATAAAAGATGACATTGTTAACAAGTTATTGTTATAAGAATTACAATATCTTTACTGAAAACACATTATATTACAATGTCGTTCTATAACAATGTAATATACAATGTCATTATTTGACATTGTCATAATTAAAAGGTAAAAAATATGTCAATGTTACAGTAAAATCACACGGTTAATTGAGTACATACATAATCAGCCCATGTGCTCATGCAATTTAAGTAAGCTGCCCAAAACTCTTTCTCAACTAAAATATGCAAAACAGGTACAGTTTTTAAAATCATGTCGATTGTATTGACATTGTTAAAACTTAAATCATGATAATTTCAAAAATAATTACATAAATATGACCAAAATAAAAATGATTTACAAAAATATGACTAGGTACTAGAGTAGTAATGAAATTATAGTAATTTGTGTTCAAATTTTGAACTTAAATTATCACAACACCATGTTGTAGTAATGAATAGTCATATTTATGTAAATAGCTTTTATTTTAATAATATTCTTGTAAAAAAAACCATAATTTCAGTAACATGGTAATTATAATAATCAGAATGTCACAATGTTGATGTCATTATAAAAGAGATGGAAATGTATATTTAAATGTAACAATAACCATGACATTTAAATAAAAATAAATCAAAAGTGAAAATCTAAATCTAAATCTAAAAGCTAGATCAGCATTAAAAACGTAAATCCGTAACTCACTAAAATGAATCGAGCAAATACAGAGTAGTAATTTTACAAAATAACATAAAATTCAGAAAAAACAAAAAAAGTTAAATGATACAACTTGGTATACTCAAAAAATGAAAGAAATGTGTACGTATATGTTTACATCAGGCGGAAACTCAGATCTATTGCTACCAGATCGGCAAAAAAAGCTACCAGGTCCGCAAAAGAGTAGCAATCATATGAACAAGTCATCAGATCGGCGGAAGAAAAGTGGAGAAGGGAAGAAAAGAAGAAATTAGGAAAAAGTGTCAAATAGGCCCCCGAACTATAAAAAACAATTAAGCCCCCGAACTCAAAAAACACTCAATTAAGCTCACGAACTATAAAAAACGAGGTAAAACAGTCCTTTTAGCATGTAATCAATGTTTGGGTGTGTTTCGAAAAACAAAGAAAATTAATTAATAAAAATTAATTAAATAAAATGACAAAACGAAAACAAGAAATGAGATGAAGCAGAACAAGTCAAAGCTCGTGCAACGCACGATTTCCTTAAAACGTATTCGTTGCCTCCCGGGGTGGTAGGAGCGTTGCAACGATCGTTTCTCAGGATACGATGACTTCGAACGATAGTTTAGCACTCAAACTATGGTTCCAACGAACGTGAACAATGCAAGAACACAATAGGAATTTTCAGAGATGGCTGGGAGAGTTTTAGAGCTAAAGAAGAGTATAATACGTCACCAAAGAACAAAAGTTAACGTTATCTTTAGAAGATTGATTTTCGGACGGCATTCGTGTGTGCAGGTCGCCCGCACACGCAAGTCGCGCTTTTTGTTCTTCGGTTTCGGGATTTGATTCGCACCCCCCCTATGCGCGTGAGAGAGCCTTTCACCTTAGGAATCTTAACTCCTTAGGGGAGGTTTCCCTTTATAAAGGGTCCAAAATCCCTTGTGATTTTCGGTGTGGGAAAAACCCATACCAAAAACTCACCTTTTCCTAGTTTTCTCCATTCCAACGGGTAAACTTCGAAAAGAGATTTCTCATTCACCCGTTATCCGTTTTGAGCGTACCATATATCGAATTGTATCCCTAAGCAAGGACTATCCGAAACCACTTTGACCCGACCCAAATCGGAAGTGGACCCCGCTCAAAAAATTGCCCCAAAAAGACCATTTAATGCAATTTAACACACTTTTTTCCAACAATCAACCGTTCCCAGTTAAGTTACATGTGTGGCAAATGATGCGGCATGCTTTTACATTTTCTTTTTCTCTTTTTCTCTTTCTTTCCTTTTTCCCCTCTCTTTTTAACCGCTTAATTACCTGCTAAAAGGACTGTTTTGCCTCGTTTTTTATAGTTCGTGGGCTTAATTGAGTGTTTTTTGAGTTCGGGGGCTTAATTGACTTTTTCGTATTAAAGTCAATGATGCGGCTTGCCGCCATCCAACGTTGTGCCGTCGTCCAACGTTGTGCTGCCGCTTCCACATCGTCGTGTGTTACATCTTCTCCGTTGTGTCTGATTTTTATTTGCACCACATGCTCCTCTTCGTCACGATGAAAGGGAAGTATTGTTGGGATTTTGCTGGGCCTCAGCTCAAAGTTTGGCCGCATACAAGAAAGAGGGAGGATAAGGAAAGACGGAAATAATAGTATAAGGGGTATATTTGAAAGACATGGAAAAAATAGTCGAGTTAAAAAGATGTAGGTCTTATTTGAATATTTATGGTGATTTTTAGTCCTATTCTCAACCATTTCTCATTAGTATAGGCCTGAATCGAGATATCACAAGTCATGTTCACACATGCTTTTTGAAATTGAGATGTTGGTTTGTCTGAGTATTTGAGCGAAGTTGACATGAACAAATTCATATATATATACACACACACGTCCCATTTGGTTGTCTCCGCCCATTATTTAGGCACTCTGGATCAATAATTCCTTGAATAAAATTATCCAAGCTAGTTCTTTCACTATACTGAAATGAAAATTTCTTGGAAGTGTTTGATATGTGCTACCATGCTACTTGAGCTTGCATCAGGAATTATGGCACTAGTGGCATCCGGTGTACAACATGATAAGGTAAATTCACATTTCAGTCATGGCCTGGCTTAGCTAGCCTCTTTCGATTTATAGGTATGTAACATTTGTATGATTTTCTTAAATAATTAGGTTGTTTCAGTACCAAAAGAAATACGGGATTGGCACGGTTTTAACACGGATTTACCGATAATTTCGCGCCATATAACTTGTGCCGAATTGGTTTTGGCACAAATTTGGCATATCCCTGCCAATTTTGGGAAATCCGTATCAAAAATCTCTGCCAATCTCGTATTTCTTTTGTAGTGTTTTTCTGTCATCCCGATTAATATATGTATTTGTTATATCACATATGTGAATAGGTGAAGAATGTGAAGAACGTGTCTGATTGCCAGGAAGGAATGGACCATGTGGTTTTTGCTCTTAGTGTCTTTACGATATTATTCAATGTTTTTGCTTTCGCTTTATGCGTTTTAGCTGCGCGCCAGATTGAAGGAGAATGGATTCAATGGAGGAGTAAGACTATTACAATTGGTTTCAAATGGTAATTAAGTTTTCTCCCACTCCATTTGTTCGGTTTATAAACGGCTCCGTATTAAAACTCTTAATTGAATATTACTGTAATATATTATGGGTTTTTTACAAAAATATTACTCCACACTAAAGTAAAATTTATTTACAAAAGTATGACTATTAGTTACTACAATGTAATGTCATAGTAAATTAAGCTTAAAAATTGAACATAAGTTACTATGATTTCATTAATACTCTTGTCATTAATCATATTTTCGCAAACAATCTTCATTTTAATCATATTATAATTATTTCATATATATATATAGGCCATGCTTTACGAGTTCTATGGCAATGTATAGACACTAGACAAACTAGAACAATATAGTCCCAGACTAGAATAGATTTAAACGAACTAGCTAGACGATATCTGACAAATATATATATATATATATATATATATATATATATATATATATATATATATATATAGGGGAGGGTTTCAGTGAGAACCCCTCTTAAAATGAGAACTCGTGAGAACCCCGACAACCGGCGGTATTTTGGGCTGAAATTTTTTGTGTATGCTCATCATCAAGTCTAGTTCATCGATACCAAATTTGAGCAAAAAATTCAATCGGGAGGTCATCAAATGATTTTTGAAAGAAACTGGTCCGGAATATACATATAAAACGCAGTTTTATTTCAAAGGTCATCAAATGATTTTTGAAAGAAAACTGCATTTTATATGTATATTCCGGACCAGTTTCTTTCAAAAATCATTTGAAAACTTCATTTTATATATATATATATATATATATATATATATATATATACTAGGAAAATTTTATTGGCTCAAGTCAGACAAAAATCTAATTTTGAGGCATTGTGAAAACTTCATTAATGGTGTATATATATAATATTGCCATAGAGAGTAAATATGCTAAATGGTGAAGTTGTATTTAAAAGTGTGAGTATTGTACTCCGAATTTAATAAACTAATTGTGTTTGATGTGGGAAACTCTAGGCTAATAATCAAATTATTACAATTTGACCATTTATATGCGCCAAGCCAAATTAGGCCATGTAATGTAAAAAGACATACGGGAATATAAAAAATGTCCCTAGTCTTATATTCACCTTATATCCACCATGTTTGTGAAATATTTTTTTTTTGTCTGTGAACCCGATTCACAGACAATATTTTGTTTGTGCAAAATATTGTCTGTGAACCGGGATTCACGGGCAAAAAAAAGCATTTCACAAACATAGGTGAGTACAAAAGTGGGAATAGAGGGAGTACAAACATCATTTTTGTATAAAATATTATACGTAGTAATTCTTTCAGTCTCACCGTCTATAAGATTCTCATATATATATATATACTATTTCACAAAATCAACTTGGCTTTTCTAAATCCTTACATTACATAATACGAAGTACTTCGTATAGTAATTTAATAGACTTTTATTAGATCGCAATTTAATTTTTTCTTTTATCCTAATAAAACTGTTAGCGTATTTTATGAGAATATAGATTTTAATTGATCATTAATGATAGATATCATGTACAACCTAATGCAGTAGGATTTTTTTTTAATTTTTTTGAAATTGTAAGGACAGAAATGAATAATACAGCACGCCGTATGTATGATTACAGTCCTTTAACAACGGAGCAAATTAAGCAGGAAAGTACATTTCAAGGTTTAAGGAGAGGGTCATTAGGTTACTTTTACTCTGCGGGCTTAATGATCTGAGTTAATTCATGGTTGAAATGATTAATTTAATTACTTGGCGGGTGCGTTAAGTACTTGAGCTAGCTAGCTAGCAGAGGCACATGTATATAGGGTAAAACTGATTTTCGGCTTATCAGCTAACTTTTTCATCAAACACGAATTTTTTAATTTCATGTGCTGAATAGTGTAATAATAATAAAAAGTAAGGTTAAAGTTACTTTTCTGGCTGTATTGGCTGAAGACACCGTATATGACCATTTTAGCGATATTTTTACATGTAATTTTTTATTTATTTAATTAATAAAAAATATTTTTTACTTAAATCAGCCGAATCAGCCAATTCAGCCAAAACTCCGTAAATTTCATCAGAATCAGTCGATTTTCGTGTTACCAAATGGGCTCATAATATAATTGAACCGTATGTCATTAATTTAGGCCTTTTTTTAGTTGGTCCAAACTCCAAAGTTGAGATAAAACGTTAAGTTAATTAATTGGCGGGCCGTATATATGTTACTAATATAGGTTTTTAGAGGTTGCCTATACCTATCAGAAAATTATTATTTTTTTGAACCGTATCAGAAAATTACTTCAAGAAATGTTACCCCATTTTAATTAAGGAAATTGCGGTAAATAGGAGTAAATGAGGTATGGTATCCCAAAACAGCACAGCCAGCACTACTATGTTTTTCTTTCCGGAGTTCTTACTGTCATGTATGAAAAAGTCTGTAATAATTGAAATATACCGTGATTAGTTATAATAAATATTGTCATGTTAAATGCACTATACTGAAACTATTTGGCAGTCACGCCTACAAGATGACAGTAAATACTGTCATGTTAGTCTTATTTCGGAAATAACAACATAGTAGTACTGTTTTAGAATTCCAACCCGCATTCACTCCTAGCCTAGGGTTTGATGTGGTCAGCCGACCCCGCTGAAAGTTTCAGAGTATAGAGCTCTGAAATATCTTCGATTTGATATATTATGGCCCCCGTAACTTATTACGAGTAAAAAGTTATGACTTCTGGAATATCAGCACTATTTAAACGTAAAATCAGCACAATTTGATGCATACTACTACGGGTGTGCACTGGTCCAAAACCGGACCGGACCGGACCGGAACCGGTTAGGACCGGAACCGGAATCATCATTTTCTATGGACCGAAGACCGGACCTGAATCTAACCGGTCCAGATGACGTGCACTTTGTCGTGAAGTGCACTCAAAATAAATATCAATACGACACTAATACGTAGTATAGCGAAGTAAGGTTCGTATCCACAGGGAAAGGAATACTTTTCTCTTTATAAACTAGTAACAAAGGGGGGGATTTAGATTGAGTAAATGTACTTGAATTATATTTAAACACGAAGATGAACGAGTTATGTGGTTTAATTAATGAGAAGAAGACTTGGCTTTGCTTTTATCCACTTAATGAAATGTTCGTCGATCCCGATTATATCTTTAACTATCTTCCTCTCGAATACTCAATCGAGGAGTATATCCAGTTCATCGAGGGTAGTTATTAATAACGAGAAGCGTTCATTAATAAAACTTACTACCGAGTCAATATAGAACAAGCGCCGTATATTAACTTGATAGTAGCAATAAAATCAAGATGAAAACGATTGAGATTGATAACCTCAACACAAGCGGTTTATTGGTTCAATCAATATAATTAATTCCCCTTGGCTTATTAACCATGAGAAGCATGTATTAACAACCCAAGTTTACTACCGTGAAAGAACCGAATTAATAACAAGCGTATTAACCGATTGATTCTAGTAATATTTAATATATAGAACAAGACTAGTTGATACTTTAAGTAATGCTCAATATATTAATATGGAATATGAATAGGAAGTAATTAATATTCAAGGAAGAAGATTAAAGAAAATAACTCACAACTTACAAATCATTAAGCTTCAAAGTAGCAAAACCAAGATGGAAGAGTTTAGCTCCTCATTTGGAGACTAAACATGATGAAAAATATAAAGAAAGAACTTGTCTAAACTGAGCTAAGAAGTATATGTGAATTGGTGCCCATTGTGAAGGAAAGGGGGTGTATTTATAGGCTTTTTGGGAGTGCAGCTCGGGTACTCGATCGAGTATATAAAGATACTCGGTCGAGTATGTGTAGAAATGCAAATTCGAGGTATACTCGATCGATTTCAGATTTAAAATTAAAGGCATACTCGATCGAGTATGTATATATACTCGATCGAGTATGAGTAGAAACTTGAATTCGACCCATACTCGACCGAATTCAGAGTATAATTTATAGTCATACCCGATCGAGTATGTCGGTGTACTCGATCGAGTATCGACACTCGATCGTGGTCAAAATCTTCCCTGCATGTTCCTTTGTTTTCAGATCCGATCCGATTTGAAATCTCAACAAGATACTCGATCGAGTATATGCTATACTCGATCGAGTATAGGTCAAAAATCAGGATTTTGCCTTCTTTTTGTCTTGTACTCTTGCACCTTCCTTCACCAATGATCATTGGATTGATCTTGGACCTGTTTAAACTCAGAATGGACCTAATCTAAACATATTACAACTATTTTACAAACATGACTATTACACCAAAAGTGTGTAATTTCCGAAATATTAAACAATTAAAACTAGCTAAAAACATAAACATACACACGGAAATTACAAGTGTATCAACTCCCCCACACTTAGTCCTTTACTCGACCTCGAGTAAACTAGAAACATCCAAACAGTTTGAGAGTTTTTCAAGAGTTCAAGAAAGGAAGAAACTAAGATCACCAAGGAAAAAAAATGAGTTTCAATTCCAAAAACAAAATTCTTTCTTGGGTTTTGTGATCTTCTATGCTCCATCTTCTTGCTCTTTTTTCTTTTTCTTTTTCTTCTTCTCCTCTTTTCATTGTTTAAAGAGATTAAATGATGTTCTGCAAAAACAAATTTTCTCTCATATCTCTCATTTTGCCTAGGAGCCTTCTCTGGTTTTCATCCTAGCATCTATTTTTTTTTTGTTTTTTTTTTTTCATCCTTTCCACTCACTCATTTGTTTTTTTTTTTTTTTTTTTTTTTTTTTTTTTTTTTTTTTTTTACAAACGCACACTACGGAAAAAGAAAACATATCTTGCTTGGGTTGCCTCCCAAGAAGCGCCTAATTTAACGTCGCGGCACGACGTTTATTTTTATTTTATCTTTTTTGTTTATGTGGGATCATGAACATCCCTTTTATCCTTCTTTAAGTCCCTGTTTGGCCTTGTTTCAATTTTATTTTTCGGCCTTTTCCAGTAAGGCCGAGATTTCTTTCTTGCTT